AAAACAAGTGTTAACAAGGTTCTTTTTTTTCCCTATCTTCAATCATTATGACAATAGTAAATATGATTGGCATAAATAAATAAAAAGTAAAATGACGTAAGATGTCTAAACGATTAATATATGCTATCTCGATAACATATTCTCTATCTACTATGTTTTGATATCTTTTAGCTATTCCGATGGAAGAAAAAAAAAAAGAGAAGAAGATGAGCTTGTTAGCATTGCTTTGATAATGTTCATTATGAGATAATAATTGTCTTCTTATTTCTAACCTTTGTAAGACAATATACAAAAAAAAAAGTTGATGATGATGATGATAATAATAATAAGAAGAAGAACAAAGTTAATATAATCGAGATTTATCATTTTGACATCATCTAACGTAAGAATGGAAACATATGTATATGTCATTCTGCTATTTAATATAACCCGAATGTATATAATATACAAAGTGCAATCATCAATACAATGAATGCATATATTGTTGAATGATGATGATGATGATTGAAACTTGTTTTTTTTTCTTTCAATATAATCAACACTTTATGAGAGTAAATATGCTCACGGCCATGACCTTGAATGCCCATCAATAAAAAAAAGTGCCGTGTGTTGAATATACACATATAAAAAGGGTTGTCAGGCACATGGTCGTAACGTTCATATAATCAAAGAAGGAAGCTCTATCAACAACAGAGTCTATATATACCTATCACCAATCCATAGAACAAAAAAAAAAGAAGAAAAGAGGAAGAGAGATCATTTAATCTCTGGATGCTATATGCTGCTGGTATTGTTGTTGTTACCATATATGCAATACCATGCGAGAAAAAAAAGAACGAGAGAAAAAAATACAATTGTGTTTGTTACCGTTCATAACGAATAAGAGTAGAGAACTGATCCCCATCAAATGTTCATCTTATGAAAGACGAGAGAATTATGCAGATATTCATGCAGAATAGACACTTGAATAAATTCAAATAAAAAAAATATATATATATAAAAGAAAATGAAAGAACGAAAGACTTCTATATACTTCAACATTTTCACGTATGTATTATATATTCTATACAACAATGTTTAAGTTTATTTTATTGAAAACAAGATATTTATATATATTGTAGATGTTTATTAAAAAATTTAAATGATTAAACGAATATTATTTTATTTTTTTCTTTTTCTCTTTATTCATATATTACCATCATGGAATTATGAATTTGAAAGTTGTTGTTCAAATGAGAAGACAACAAATAATACAACTCGTCTTCTATCATGTCCATTAAATTTTGTTATTAAATTACGTTCAGCTATTTTTTATACAGGTAATGGTTGTTCACGAAGTGAATGTCAAAAACGTTTGAATAAATATTATCTATCATGTAATAATCATCGTACATGTTCAATATCAATTCGATGTATTCTTATGGATTCATCAACATGTCCATGGTTAGAACAAACAAAAAGTTATTCACAACATTTAATTATTGATTATGATTGTATTTTACATAAATCAGAATCATCATTAATTATATTAAATAATCAAACAAAAAAAGAACAAAATAAAGATATTGTTCTTTTTTCTGCTAAAATAAATATTGAATCACCATTAGATTCAATTGATAATGATTCATTTATAATAGATAATGAAAATGAATGGAAAGAATATTTTCTTAAAAAATATTTTCATTCAAAACCATTAAATGAAGATAAAGCAATTATTATTCATCAACAACGTTCATTATTTAATGAAATACTTCGAACAATTATCATACTTATTATATTTACTTTTATACTTATTTTATTCATGATAATTACACTTTTTATTTATAAACATATTACATTAATGAAAAAGAAAAAATTTTATGGTCAAGATAAACATCGACCATTTCCATCTGATGATGCTTATGATAATTTAAAAGCAACACGAATAGAATCAGCAAGTGAAACTGGTACAACAACTGATGTGTGAGTTAATATGACTCTTCTTTTTTTTTTATTCATAATCATTTGATAAACTTTAATTGTGTGTGTGCGTGTGGGCTTGTTTGTTTATTATTAAAGTTTAACAAAATAATATATATATACATATATTCAGATAAAGATGTATAAGTTTCGGCACAATGATATATAACTAAAGGCAATGATGAGATAACATACAAACAAAGTTTTCTTTTTTTTTTTCCTCGTTTATTTGCCTTCAACCATAATCGATATATATATATATATATTTATTAATCTATTGTTATCAAGGGTTCAGTTACTGCTGGAAGAATTGATTTAGTCTCGATGAGGTGCAAATGAGCATGATGTAACATACTTTTAGTTAACCAGTTTCTATTATCAATAATGGAAGAGAAAAACGGGTAATGATCTAGTACATTAAAAACAAATACGAACTGTTAGATAGAACAATATGTGAGAAAACGAGATATGATATCCTACTTTTGTTCTCCTCATTATATTTGACAATGATTGCGTATGTTGTATATAGACCTTGGATCATTGGCGTGTCAACTATACACCACACGCGTATATTCAGCTCAAAGAGCTCAGTCATTTTATCCATATTTCTATGTACACATAGAAAAAAAAAGCTCAATCAACTATATATATATATATATATTATGTCATAGTGTGAATGAATGTTAGCCAGCATATGAGTCTAATAGCTTGTGCTATGCAAGTTGTTCAATGTCATCATTCTCATTATTGATCGATAATTGATTGATGGTTCTTTAAACAAGACTCTATCGTTTTTATTGTTAACGATTACATTATCTAAATGACTTCTAGTTCAACATGTTCTATATTATATTTGTACTTGTTGTCTTTATACAATTTTTCGATTGAATATATGCATATTCATTATACACGTGTTTGATATCTTCAAAAATTGACTCAATCTATCTTTTTTTCATATAAATTTATTTATCGACTAAAACTATATTGTTGTAGATTATATGAAGTTAAGATTGACAGATATATCTTATCAACAATGACCACAGGATATCGAAGCTGTATGTGGCCAATAATAAATTGACTATAGGGAATCAAGTTAAAATAAGTGCATCTTTGAGAAAGGATTTTTTTCAAAGAAAACAATAAATACAAATCAAGATATCAAACAATAACAAAAAAAAAATGTTTATTGATCTCTAAAAAAACAAAAATAAACAAATCTAACGATATTTTAATGCTAGTCAAATAAAATCTTTTCTTTACTTTATATAAAAATATCATAGTATCATTTCATATTGTATACCATTCACTAAGAACAATAATTAATGAATTGCTTCGATCATATTTTCTACTCAGTAGGTATCTAAAACATTCACTCGATACACAGCATGTATCTAACAAACAAACACTATGTATATTCGATTATGAATGTTAATTATTCACGTAAGTTAACAAACAACTCAATTATAAATGAACATAAAAACTGAAAGTCAGGAAAAAGAACATCAAAAGTAAATTGAATATTGAGAAAAAACAGTTGAAAAAAATATTTACAACTATATACTCAAGACTAATACTAAGAATATATTCTTACGTTTGTATCTTATACTCAAAAAAAAATTCTTTCAAGAAATAACCATGAAAAGAATATGAATTATACAATTCCAACTAATCATTACTGAAATCATATGTATTCAATTAATTATTGATTATATCAATCTGCATTAGAATTTTGAAACTTAATCCGACTTGCTAGCGGATATGAGTTGAACTTTGAAACGTGTCAAGTTCATTTTGCCAAACGCAATCTATCATTTTCTATGTACTTTTTCATGACTGATGTAGAAAACAATATTTCATAAAGCTATCGGTTCATATTATCCATATGGACCACAGCAATAGTTCAAACAAATCTGAAATGATGACATAACTTATCGTTCTTTTATACAATATGGTCAAAGCCATTAGAACCTTGATAGATCATTATACTTACATACTTTAAACGAGCTGTAAAAATTCTACATCATAATATTGTCTTAAATAATACAAAGAAATCATAACAAAGTTATTCAATTTCATTAAACTTTTCAAAAAACATTAAACGATAACTTTTAAAGGAATAATAATGGAATAAGTGTTTGATCCTTTTATCTTTCTGGTAGATATGTTACAGGATGAACATAGGAAATAGTGTTCATTCCAACATGCTCTATTACAAGAATATAAATGTTAACAATTATTTTATTCATTATATTTGTTACAGAAAATCTCTATTAATACAATACAGAGATTATCATTTCAATCATCACTTTTAAATCATTAGTTACTCGCTAAATAAAGATTGCTATAATATTATCATAGTTTCTTAATAAAGCTAGAGTGATAACACTTGATATCTTATACACTTCCAGAATAAGATGCTAATTCAATAATATATATATATATAATCTTCGAAGAGTTTCTTGATATTGTATGTATGATTGTTATTCTACGAGCTAAAGACAGTCCCATATGTCTAATTTATTGTAATCAAAGTCTATGACAGATAGACAAGATCTTAATAATTAACACATTCGTAAATCATGAAGCTATGCTGTAGAGCTAATCCAACTTCATTGAATGCTAAGAGTTTAAAACTTTCAGAAGAGATTCGTCATCTTATGGAGATTTTCTAATAAAAATTTCAAATAAACTGATCAAAGACATCATGAAAACGATCCATTTTACTAAAAACCAACATTTTCTCTTCAATAAACATTCTTAATAAGTAGACAATATCGACCTTTCGAATGGAAAGTTGCGTGAAAATATTTATGCTAAGATGATGGGTAGATTGGTGCCTACGAACAGAATTTATTATCGGATGCATGCATACATCTAAAATATCAGCTCAATATCATAAAGAATAGTAGCACTTCATGCTGGATAGCTACTTTTACTGTACGTTCTACAAATCGTTGACTTTTGATTATTCTCATCATTAATTGATAAAATAATTCTTTAATGCACATTTGTTTCATATATATATATGTTCTTTTCTTTAGCTAAACAATTTCTAGTTTTACATGTCCTAAGCTATATTTATGTTTGTTCACTTCAAAAAGTTGTTCGACAGCTTGAATATATTGATTATGAAGTTGATCGATTTCTTCAGATGTTGGATTAATATTTTGTTTAACATAAATTGGTTTACCAACTATATAGAAAGAAATTATTTTACTTGATATATGAATAAGAATATTAATTATATCTTACCAACAGTAACTACAGGACGTCGACGTGGTATATGTCCAGCGAAGAGTCGACCCCAAACTATACCATTGGGAAATAAATTAAAACAAGTATATCGTTGATAAAGTTCATTTTCTCCAAATGAAATTACAGGTACTAATGAAGCACTAAAGACAAAAAAAATTATTATGTTTTTTTTTTTTTTATTATTAACCTTTGAAGAATTAATCTTACCCATGTTTTAATGCTAATGTAATAAAACCTTTTCGAGTCTTTAAATACAATATCATAGTATCATTTTTTGTAAGATACATCTCATGTGCACCACCGATGATGATAACTAGTGCATTACCTTTACCAGATTTTCCACTTAATAAATATTCACAACTATCTTTTGATACACAACATACACCTGAAAATAAAGACGATCGAAATAAGTTCTATTCAATTATGGATTATGAATATATTTCATTTACCTAAATTAAGAAGTACTTCACGTGTAAATGGAAATTGAAATTGAATATGAAGAAGCATTAAATGTGGTCGAATATTTGTAAAAAGAGTTGAAAAATTTGTAGCATCTGTACCAAAATTACCCAATGCACTTAGAGAAAATGCACCATGTGGATGAAAACCAAATATATAATTTTGATTTGAATCAAGATCTTCACTTTTAATTAATTTAAGAGGAAAATAATTTACAAATTGTCTAAAAATAGGCAATTGACGAATTCGATTAGACCATCGACCTCCTTGTAAATCTGTATGACGATCAAAATAAATCCAACATACATATATAAAACATATTGTAAGAGTCATAGACAACGACCAAAACCATGACAAAAGAATAAATATGATAAACGTCACAATAGGTGAAAATAGAAAAATAGTAACAAGTAAGAATACTGTAGAAAATTGTATAAACTGTGTTAAATCTATCATCTAAATAGAATAATTTTCTTTATTAGAAGAAAAAAAAACTAATCACTAAAATAACTTTGATTTTAAATGAAATATAATCAATCAATCAATCAATCAAAAAGAAAAAGTATTCTTAAAATATTATAAAGAAAGTGAATAATGTAACCATCGATGACTTTTCGATGCTCCACTTCTATTATAGACAGTTTGAGCACGTTTATTATCTATTGAAGTTTCCCATGCTAGAGATAGAGCACCATGTTCACGTGCTTGTCGTGCACATTCAGTAATAACAATATCAGCAATACCTTGACCACGATATTGTTCGCAAATAAAAAGATCATTCATAATTGCACAACGACCTCCAATTAATGTAGACCAACACCAGTATATAGTTGCAAAACCAATTGGTGTTCGTTCTTTAAAATTACGAACAATAAGTTGAATACCTTCATGAGTTGGATTAGCTATAAGTGCACGAGATACACCCATAAGAGCATCATCACTAATTATAGGAATTTGTTCAGTTTGATGATAAAATTCACAATAAGCATGCATTAAAGGTAATAAATCAACTAGATCATTTTCATTAACGATTTCAATACTCCAACGTGGTTCTGTTTCTGATGTCGCCATCGGATTTTTTTTTATCTATGATAAAAATCGTCAAAATAACAAAAATAATATATGGTTTTTTTTTCTTTCTTTCTGTTGTTATCTTTTTGCATCGGTAAATAGTCAATAGAGAGCTAAAGAGTCAATAATAAACGTTTTACAAAAGATGTCCTCTATTACCATACATTGGACTTATGAATTAGATACATCAAACTCTATTTTATTCATGTATTTTTATTGTGATACTTCGAATAAACTACATATAGCTAAATCAAGTCATGAAGTTCTTATTATACTTTATCATAATGTATTAAACAATCCAAAACAGAGATCGAAAATGTACCAACTTGATTCGATTCGGTTTCGAATCCAGAATATCAAGACATCTATCTATCTATTAATACGAACTGATTTCAGTCTTGCAAAAATTACCCAGATCAATTTTATACGATTTATATGATAGTTCAAATACACGTGCTTTATGTATAGTTGAATCTTTAATTCTAATATGTTAAAGAGTAAGCTCATCAACATAAAAAATATTTATTCTATACTTTAGTACACTGTATCAGATAATTATTTAGGTCAGAAAATCGAGTTTACTTGAAAATTTAATATTTCGATAAAGGAACATTCTTTTCGACTGAAACTTTCTGGATATTCCTAGAGTCATTAGATCTATCTATGAACAAAATTTCAGGTCGAAATTTCATTATTTGATTTTTCGATAAATATCTAAAGCTAGGTCATAAGTACGAACTTTTTAAGGGTTTTTCTAATGTTACTGAGATCGTCACTGACAGGTATCAATTCAAATAGTTTCCTCGCATAAGACCATATTCTAAAAGTGAACAAACATCTTGTCTAAAAACTTTTCGATTAGATATAATTTCAAGTTGATGTATTAATTATGAATTAACTTTATTTGAAAAAGCTTAAATAATTGCACGAAAATTATTTATACATAATGGAAATAAAAATATATATATTTTTTTTCTTCTAAATACGGATAGAATATGTTATCCAGTCGTTGCACGAATTTGTTTTCCAAATGATAAAAATATCTGTTCAAGTGTTGTTTGTGATATTGTATATGTTTCAATATTTAATTGTTGTTTATTTTCTTCAAGTAATTGAAATAATTCAGCTGGTGTACTATGTTCAATTTGAAATACACCAGTTGATTGTGTTGTTTCTTTAATTTCAATATGATATTGTTTTTGAGATAATAAAAATGATTGAACATTTTGTATTGCTGTTGCATTTATATCATTATCAATTGAACGAACTTTTATTTCAATTGTATAACCTTGACCAAATTTTGATTTTAAATGTTGTATTGTACCTAAACAAGCTAATTGACCATGAACCATTATACCTAGACGATTACAAACACGTTCACTAAAATAAAAAAACAACTAGCATAAAAATATTGAACAATCTGCAGTTTTCTGTATTCGAAAGAGAACAGATAACTTTATCAGTCTATATAAAAATCAAACAATCAAGCAGTGGTCATTTCCCAAATTCATGTTAACTTTATTAGATAAGCGTTTTGTAGATGAACTCAAGACGGTTTTGTTGCTAAGTTATAGGCATTCTTCTGAAACCCTCGAAATCGATCAATTGACCAATTGTAGAGGTCTCAGAAGAATGCTTATAACTCACCAACAGAACCATCTAGAGAAGTCTTGATTTTGCTCTATCGAATAACTATGTTAAAACTCAATATTTATTGGGAAATTTTCCAAAAGCATCATTTTCTAGATAGCCGCTAAAAACTGACTACTATTTGATTGTTTGATTTTTACATAGAATGATACAGTTATCTGTTCTCTTTCGAATACTGAAAACCGCAGATCACTAGCTACTTTTATGCCTGAGTTATTTATGATACAACAAAGTCTATTGACTTTTTGAACGGATATTAAGATTCGCGTCAAAAATATCGTTTTTTTTGAGCTTTCTACATGGTCGAATAGTCCACATTTTCTACTCTCGGAGTCATTATTATTCTTAGTTTTCACGATTTTCAAGAGATTTTGTAAAAAATCCACAAGTAGGAAATGCTTGGAAAACTTTAATTTTTGAAGCTTTGCGATTTTACTAATAGGCTTCTGATTTAGAGAACACATCCCGCATGCTTTAGTAATTGTGCTTCATGGATCTCCTTCATGTGGCCTCTCAAAAATCGCTCTACGAAGGAAAAAACATGGATGTCCAAAGTTCAACTTTGTTGGGTGCCTTTTTCAAAACAAGTTTTTTTTGTTCGTGTGTCTGAGACTTCTCAGCCATTTTATTTTTCATTTAATTTTTGAGCAAAATGGATAGGAGTACCCCTATTTTTTCGAAAAAAATTGATACGAAAAATTAACAAAGAAGAGCTTTAAAAAATCGAACTCTATTAAGTTGTAGCAGCAAGCTTTTGACAGCAACACGAAATCTCGAACGTCTTGACCGTTGGTATAGGAATAACTCTTGAAGAATTCAATATTTCGGGCTGAAGTTTTTACTATAAGCTTCCTAGATTTGCACTCATGTTTTCAGATAGATCGGTTATTCTAGGACGAAAATAGATTTTTGACCGGAGAAAGAGGAGGAGGAGGTATAATTCATTTTCTTTTTACCATTCATCCATTGAATGACTAGTTAAAATAATAGTTAATTTTGCTTTAACAGCATTTAAAAATATTTCTTGCATTTGTTGTCGCGCATGTGGATCAACACCCGTTGTTGGTTCATCAAGAATAGCAACTAATGGAGGTCCTTAACACAAAAAAAAAAACATAATCACTTCTTTTGATTTGATATCTAACCGGTGGACCGTAAATAATTGACCTCTTTGTATTTTTACGATTTCTTCTCTATTATTCATGTGATTAAACTATCTTTTTTTTATCAAAATATGCCACTTGAAATTCTCTATAAAGATATGTGTGACTGGACTTAAATGTCACTTTAAATATATTTATAACAGAGCAAAAATTTATGCAGTGATTTGGGTAGAGTAGTTTCATTAACAACAATTAAATCATAGATTCGAATGATCAACAATACCGGATCTATCAATTTATCGCATTCTCTCAGTCGTCTGCGCACAGTTCGAACGAAAGCCAATATTTCAAAGGTTAAACATCGTCTGGCTCAGAAGAAACGAGTGTCAACAAGACGATTTTTACTGATGAAAAGTATTTTGATTTCGATGAGGTTTATAATAATCAAAATGATCAAGTGTAGGTTGCCAAGAGGGAAGAAGCTGACAAGAAAGGTATCATACATGAGAACACAAAACTTACACAAAAGATGATGGCTATATCTTGGTGTATATAGTGAAGGTTTAACAACACTAATGATTTTTGAAGATGGTACTATGGATGCAGAAAGATATATCAAAGAAGTTCTTCCAGTAGCTCATGAATGCGGCAATAATACGTTAGACAGCCACTGGACATGTCAACAAGATGGGGCAAAACCTCACATATATCATCTGAGCTAAGAATGATGTGCTGATCCTGATCATTTTCCTACATTCATCTCGAAGAACCGTTGACCACTAAATTCATCTAATGTATGCCCATTAGATTACAGTTTATGGAATGAATCTATGGACTGGGACAAAATTACAACAAAGCCAACATTGATAGACGAAATAAAACGTTCCGTCAAAAAAAATTACCGTTCTGCACTTGATTTTACTGTAGGATTACGTTTAATTCAAGGAAATCGAGGAGATTATATTCGTTAAATAAAATATATCATTTTGTGCAGAATTTCAAGCGCTATCTTTTGATTAAAAAAAGTGTTTTAAGCAAGGGGATAATAGAGAAGAAATCTTAAAAATACTAAGAGGTCGATTATTTATGGCCCACTCATTATTTTACCAATTAATGCTATAGCAGTATGTAATCGACGTTTTGTTCCACCACTTAATTCATGTATATAATTATTTAAAAATGGATCAAGTAAAAATAATGAACTTATTGTTTGAACAATAGATTTTATACGTGAAGATTTAATACCACGTATACGTGCTAATAAATAAAGACTATCATGAACAGTAAGATAACTCATACTACAATTTTCTTGTGGACAATATCCTAAATGACGTGTTGATCTTATTCGACGATGAACATTTTGTCCATCAATATAAGCCGTGCCTTGTGTTGACATTAAATCGCCAACAATAATACGAAATGTTGTTGTTTTTCCAGCACCCTAATTTAAATTGATTACAAATATTTGTTTATTTTATTTTTTTTCTATACTTACATTATAACCAAGTAAACCAAATGCTTCACCACGTCGTGCACCAAATGTTAAATGATTAACAGCTAAAATTTTACGTATTGGATAATATTTAACAAGATTATTAACTGTTAAATAATCAATATGTTCTTTATTATTAGATGAGTTTTTTTCATTATTTAATATTCGATGACGTTCAACTAAAACATCATCATCAAGTTGATTTTCATTAAAATTTGATTTATATAAACATGATAATGATATTTGTAATAAACCACTATCAATTATAATTAATATTAAAAAGAATAATAATATATGTAAAATAATAATTCCAATATTCCATTGAATTGTATCATCACCAAGTGCTTTAAAAAGTTTCAATGCAGGATCATCTAAACCAAATGGATCAGTAATAAATCTACATAATCGACTTTTTTTTGCTAAAATATATGTTATTATAACTTGCGAATTTATAGTTGGTGATATAAGATTAAATAACCAATATAAAATTTTTCGAATAAATGTATTTTCTATTATCATTGTTACAACGGGAATAATAATACTTATAAAATGAGAAACTATTAATAGAAAACATATTGTTATACCACCCTAAAAATAATTAAAATTATAGAATGAAAGAAATTCTGATTAATTTTTCTTTTTTTCTTTTTTATAAATGAAAATAGTTATACAAAAATGTCTTTCATACATACAAGAATATCACTTCGAAAAAATTTTGTTAATAAATAAACAAATGGTAATGTTGGTAATGTAAT